ATACTATTAGTATGGGGCCTGGGTCTTTTGTAAATAGCATATAGTATAGTATAGTATTCTTTTATCCAAAGTGATCTTTTCCCCTTAGTCAGCTTACATTTTATATTCATTATCTATTGCTAAGTAACAATTAGAAAATTAAGTGACTCAAATCATTCAGGAGTTATTATCTCCTAGAGTGAGTGGGTCAGGGGTTTGAGCATGGCCAACTCAGGGGCCTGCCTCAGGGCCTGTCACACTGCTGCAGTTAGTGTCTGCCAGGGCTGATGGCACATCTGAAGGCTCCCCAGGGAGGACCCTCTTCCAAGCTCACTTGCACTTGCCGTAAGGAGCCAGTTTCCACAGGGCTGAGCTCCTCACTGGCTGTTGGCCTGTGGGCACCCTCAGTTGATTGCCATGTGGGTGTCTCCATAGGGCAGCCCAGAAAGCAGAAGCTGCTTCATCACTGTGAGCAAGCAGAGACAGGGAGAGAGTGTGAGTAGGACAGAAATTACTGTCTTTAAAAATCAAATCTCAGAAGTGATAGCCCACTACTTTCACCATATTGTGTTTATTGGTGGTCATTACCAGGTCTGCTTCACACTTGGGGCGGGGGGAGTTACACAGAACCAGAGCGCCAGGAGTGGGGATTATTGAGGACATGTTAGAGGCTGCCTGCCACATATTTATTATGGTAAATGGTAACTGAGTGACTTATATCTGTAGTTGTATCTGGTATTTCTGTTTACTACTTTGTCTTCTCCAACCCCTCATATTTCCCTTTAGCCCCACAACTCCCTTTCTCCCTCCCTGCTCCTCTTCCCTCTGCCCTTCCCTCCTCTGCTGTCCCTAACTTGCTGTGCTTGGACTTCCACCCTCCTCCTGCCTGCCCTTCTTGTGCTCTTCCCTGAGGTGATCTTGGACAGGTGCAGTGGTCAGTTTGCCTGTGCAGCTCATAGCTTTCCCTTCCTCCTTTTGTTTGTCTTCTTTGCTCATTCCTGGCTCAGATCTTTGTGCTACATCCCAGTCGGTTCATTAATGTGCCTTTAGCTTAAGGTTTATTTTGCTCATTTTATTCTGAAAGACTTTAATTTATATTTATGTTTTTGGGGGAGTCTTCCAAGTATGTAATCCTTTTTTCTATAAATCAGAATTTATTCCTTTATCTTTTTGAGCAACTCAAATAAGCATATTTAAAATCCTTCATCAGTTGGAAATTATAATACTGGCTGGATAGTTGATGATGTTAAGTAATTGATGCTAATTTTTAAAAATGTGCATTGGCACTGTGGTTCTGCTTAAAAAAAATCCTAATCTGCAGAGCAGTCTCTGGAGGTCTGCATAGATAAAAAACAAAATGATATGAAGGCTCCTGGAAGGAGAGGTACAGGCCAGAGGTGAGCTGGCTTCTTGGCATCTGAGTGTTGAAGCTTAGTGGTAGCCATTTGGGGTTTTGTTCTATTCTTTTGCCTCATGTTTAAATTTTACACAGTACAAAATTTTCAGAATCTTTTATCATTGTCCCATAGAATCAGTTTCACATGGAGTGAGTTCATATCTCAGTTGCTGATTTTACTGGTAGTCTTTCTAGTTACATTTCTCTGCACATTGGAGATTTGCTTCTCAGATTCCTTTTGAGTGGAAAGGCTGGTTTTCAGTGGTTGGTTTATTTCCCCTCACTTTCTGTGTAGCATGTTTACCCTCTGTAGCTTTTTTTCTGGCTGGGGACAACTTCACTCAGGATGTGCCGGGTTGGATTGTGCTTTCTGAAGTAAGTCTCTTCGTGGTCTTGGGGATGCTACCGAGCCTGGGGACAGGGTCAGTGGGGTACTAGGATCACTCGTGGTTTGGGGCTGGATCTTTGCCTCCTGGCTGCCTAGGTTTAAGCTACGTGCCTGGGTGGGCATCTTCAGGAACTTTGTATCAGCTTCTTCCCCTAAGAGGGCCCTGCACTCTAGGTGGCCACCTGGTCTCTGTGGAGAGAAGTTTTTTCAGGCCTAACAGTATAGAGAGGTTCTGGCTACTCCACCTGCTCCAGGCCCAGAAACCAGCAGACCTGTGGCTTCAGCTCCACCTACTGCTTTGCATCTTTGTCCAGTGTTGGACACTTTCATCTTGTTTTTGAACCTGTCCCTATATTTTGGTGTGTGCCTCTCCCTGCCGGTCCTTTGTGTTTGAAGCAGCTAGATGCATCAAAGTGCAAACTTGCTGTGCCGTCTTGACTGGAGGAGTCCTTGACTGAAATCACTGAAGGTTCCCTTAGCTCCATTCAAAGACTGTCCTCCACCGCATGATCTTCACGATGCTGATAGTTTGCCTTTGTATTAGACATAACATGCTTAATTTAGTTTTTTTTTCCCCAAAAAAAGATTTTCTTGGAAATCTCCTTAGACAAAATAACAACCTGCTACCTCATGAGTTATTCCTTCTTTTGGTCTCCCCAGCACATATCACTCTCTGAAATTATCTTATTTATCTGTACACACATTTGCCTCTCCCACTGGGATCTAAGCTCCATGAGAGCAGAGAATTTCTCTCTGTTTTCGCTGATGTGTCTGCAACCCTTTACACTGATGCTTGTCACACAGTGGACACTCAGCAACATGCTAATAAGTTACTGAGTCAGTCTCAGCACCCTCCAGTGGCCCTCAGTCCCAGTGTCATGCAGAGCTTGTGTGGGCAGGAAGCAGGTTTGGGCTGTGGAGTGGCTTTGAAGAGTGACTCTGCTTCATCCATTGTCCTCTATCAGCCTTGCATCACTGAGTGCCTGCACTAGGCCCTACACTGAACCCCAGGCATCTGCTTCACATTTCTTTCTGTAGCCCTTCTTCTTGGGCCATGTCCTGTCTGTCGTCTTGCCCATCCTTAGCCTTAAGGATTTTAGTACAAATCTCAACAATGAATGGGGCAGGAAGGCAGAGGTTGATCATGCAGAAGCAGAGGCTGTGGGCTTGCCACCTCTCTGGCTCACTTGTGACACAAGCTGAGGAATTTACTTGGGGCACAGGTCTGAGTTTGTACTGGCAGGGGCAGGCTCACCCATCTCCAGGAAGTTCACACACCCTTATCTAATCCCTGCCTAATTGTATCCTAGTGGCATGAATAGAAAGGCCTTGCAGCCTTTGGTGTTCCTGTGTGTCTGAATGATCTCTCTGGACTAGGAGGTGCTGAAGAGCGGGCATCTCTGCTTGGCACTTCAGTTCTGCATCCTGCTGCTGACAAAGACAGCCTAAAATCTCTGGCCGAGCATCCTGGGAACCTCTGTGCAGAGGAAGTGTCAGAGAGTGTCAGGTGGATGGTGGGTAGATGGGTCAGCTTCCTCATCCTCCTATTCCATTGCTCCTCCTGAATGGTAGCTGAAGGGCCTTGTGATGGTTTTACTTTCACATGTCAACTTCCTGCTTGGCTGGGGCTACTGGCCAGAAATGGCAGGTCCAGAACCTTAATTGTATCCAGCGAGCTTTTCCTTGGATGGCACTAGGGATCATTCACATTTAAGTAACAGGCTGCTGAGAGGCCTGCACAGATTAGCCATGCCTGCATTCCCTGGACACAGCAGCCCTAGCATCATTCTTTGCAAGATTCTATGAGGACTCCCTAGCACTCACTCCCCTGTTTATGTTTAGTTTTCTAAAGTGTTGGCATTGCAGGAGCCTTCTTGGCATTTTTAAATATTCTACAGCATCTGGGGAGCCAAGCTACTGCATTTTTCCACTCTACAAGTGAGAGAAAATAGGAGGGGCGCAACTCAGGTCTGTGGTGGCCTTACAGGTAGAAGCCTGCAGCCTCACCTGCCCCACTGGCCTGGGATCTCCAGGGGCATGTGGTCAGTTCCCATTACTGACTGCCTTGAAGATGCTTTCAGAAGGTTCCATGCCAAGAGAAGTATCTTTGCCAGGGAGCTGTAGGCTTTCAGAAACATGGATGCCAACAAGAGCCTAGAGCAATCCTCAGGCACACTCAACCCCAGGAAGTTTCAAAAGGTGACTGAGCAATGTGATTCCTCTCTACAGGCATCTGGGGCTGTCCGCAGGCCCAGTAATGTTGTGGCTTTGCACAGAGGGTGGAGATGGCAGGATTTGGGGCCTGGTCCTGGAAAGGCCCCACAGTTGCTGACACTGATATCCAGCAAGTGGACACATGCACATGCTGTGCTATGAGGCTAGTGATCTTTGTGGACCTGTTATACCTCTGCCTGAGGAGATCTCTTTCATCTTCAGACAGGGTGAGGCAGGGAGGATGCTTCTACTTCAGTTTCATGCATCATAACCTAGGTTGTGATTTCCTCTGGAGCAAAGCAGATGGTTCTCCTAGCTAGTTGAGGTGGGCTGGTTCAAGCCCAGTCTGCCTGAACCAGCTTGTTCATCTGGGGTAGCTCAGCTTTCATCCTATGAACTAGAGGGAGGGCCCGCTGCCTTGTGGTCCCCATTTCTATCAGGGCTGAGGAAACAGCACCCCTTACTGTGCAGTTCTGTGCATGAATCCCTCCCCTCATAGCTCAGAGTCTGAGACTGTGACATGGACTTCCTGGTGCTGTGGTTTTGGCAGCACAGCTCCTCCACCAGGCACTGCTTACCTTCACCTGGGTTCACAGCCAGCCCCTCTCTGAAAAGCTGCAAGCTGTCAGACAGCTTGTCCTTAGCTCTTCCATCGTGTCTGCATTGAGTCCATAATGAAGGATCGTAATAATCTCCCTGCCTTTAGAGGTGTTGGAAGGAGCATAAGAAATAATCTGCGGGAGGCATGTAGAACAGTATTTGGCAGATAGTAAGCATTCAATAAATGTTAGTGATTATTGTCTACAGAATGGTTCTAATAATTACCCACCTTGAAGGGTTGTTGTGAAAATTAAATGTAATACATGTGAACAATTTGCCATAACCCAGGTTTTTTGGTTCGTTATTATGACTCTTCTCATTGTGAGTGTTGTTGCGAGCAGAAATGTCAGTGACTGCTTCCCTGAAGCACACATTCGGCACCATTGCTGCTGGCTAACATGGGCTTTGTTGTCTTTTAACTAGGCCAGGGAGCTGGAGAGCAGAGAGGCAGAACTCAGACGCCATGACACCTTCTACCAGGAGCAGCTGGGGCACATTGAGAGGAAGGTAGGACTTACATGTGGCTGCTTGCTGGGGGGTCATGGCCCACTCCAGCATGGTAGGGACCAGGCTGCAGGCCCAGGGCCTACTCAACCAGGTGCCAGTCACCTTGTGGGCATGCCCTCCTGCATTCCACAGCAAGCACCACAGACCCAGTCTTTCAACAAGTTGCATTCACGGACATAATTGGTTTTTAATTGGTCCAGTTTTTGTTGAATGTGGCTGGCTCTGCTATAGAGCAGTTTTAGAAAAAAATTTCCTTTCACCACAGGGCGGTGCTGAGACCCAGTCTACCTTTTTCACTTTAGTTAAGCTGAGCTGGGTAAAAATAATAATAACGTGAAGTCTTGCTATACAAATACATTAAAGTTGTATTATTGATTTTCTCCTGGGAGTCAGGAAGATCAAAGTGCACTACTGCTGCACACTCACTGCTTTTCTAAGAATAACCCTTTGAAATGAATGAGATTTAAAGGGACATCATCATGCCTTTTCTCAGATGCCCACAATGACCACTGAAAATTCATCTGATAATTTGCTTACTTTTGGGGGGTTTAATTTGTTGATCATGACAGATTTTTCCAAAGAAATGGCTTAAAACATGGAAGGGGCTTGTTGGGATTTTGAAAAAAATTATTCTTCCTCTTGCCTGAGAAGGCGTGCCAAGCAACCTGAGCCATCGTGTATTGCAGGCAGATCTTCGCAAATCATTTGTCACGGTTTGGAGCTTTGAAACTGACAGTTTGCTTGAGGGGCTTGATTTCCATAGGGGCTTTTTCCCGTGGTGTGCCACAGTGGTGCTTGGCAGAAGTGTGGCTTTCTGGATTTCTAGGCAGTGGGGACAGGCAGGAGGTTATACCCTGTCCCATCACTACTGCTGGTCCACCTCCAAGGGGCATGCAGGGACAGCCAGGTCAGATGTGCATGCTCCTGAAGCACTCACTGTGCCACCCTGCAGTCTTAGGAGCTGTCAGGCTCACTGAGTAGCCCCTAACAGGCCAGTGTTTCTCAGGCCAGCCTCCTGTACAGGTTTGACTGTAGCTTGTAATGACAAAGATTGTGATTTGAGATCCTGGAAAGGGTAGAAAAAAAAAAATCTACCAGTCACAGCTCTAATTATCACAGTTGCCCATATGTTCCGAGGCACAGATTTTTTTTTTTTTTTTTAAGTGTATGTGCAGTGCTTTGGTCTCCTGCTGTGTTCCTCTTGTGATTTCGTCTCAGGGCTTGGCTGCTAGAAGCATGTGTACATGTGTCTGTTTGGGATGGAAGGGAAATAGCCTTACAGTATTTTTCCTCCTCTAAAATTTTTTTTCCCCTTGTCACTCTCATCTCTACTTCAGTTCTCCTCCTTAAATCCAATCCTCTGTTTTGTTGAAAGAGAGGAAATTCTCCTGGTTGAGCCCTTCTATATCATCTATTCCTCCCCACTCCTGGTAAAGGGAAGTCCGGGCTCAATACATATGCAAATGTAAGCTTTGAAAAAAAAATGGCAGGTTCTTGTACATGCTTGTGAACAGTTATTAGATGCTTCCAGAAGGAGGTGCAAAAACATGATCTCCTTTCTAACTCTTAAACACAGCATTTTGCTGGTGATAATAAAAAAAAAAGAAAGCACCTCCACATCCCAGGAAATGGAGATCGGTGTGGGAGATAGTGCGGATTACAGGGGAGCCAGAGAAAAAGGGAGAAAAGCAGCAGAATAATAAGGCTTAATTGTATTAGTTTTGAAAAAGGTTTTCACTCTTTCTCATGGATAATTTTATCCCTGTAATGGCTGGGAAGATGGAAAACATGGCATCCAACAATCTTTTTTATTAGCTGTTGCTTTTATACAATTGAGCTTGCATTTATCGAGTATTCTCAGACCTTGACATTTCCAGCCTCTGCGCGTGCAGCTCCAGGACCCTCCAATTATTATACTACTTTCCTTTTCTTTTTTCCCCATTTCCTTTTAAGTTTAGAAACCTACAATGGAAAGCTGAGCAGGTGGAAGTTCTATCAGCTGCCGCATCACCCTTGACTACCCGAAATATCTTCGGGTGTGTGTGCACAGGTGAGGAGGGCAGATGGGGATGGGAGAGCTGAGGTGTGTCCTGGCTGGCTGGAATGCCACCACCTTTTACCTGTAGGATTTGGTCCCCCTTGCTTATGGTGACAGGCGACAAGAAGTCTGCACAGAACCCAGCATCCTGTTTAAGAAAAAGATGACGTCTTGACCCTTTTGTACCATTGTTTTTTCCCCAGGCAGCTATTCTTGGGTATGAAAAGTATGGTTGTAGGGCTGCTACACTTTATAATCTTTCTGAGTAATTGTTCCTCACGCCCACACAGCAAGGTCTAAGTGAAGTGATTTCCTCCATCTCACCATGGAGAGCAGTGAGCTGCTAAGGATGCGAGGCTCTGTGAGGGTCTCATGGCAGCAGAGGGCAGGCCCTGGATATGCTGGCACAGAGTGGGGGCAGCAGTATGGTTCAGCCCAAGGCGCCCAGGCACTAGAGCTGTGGGGCTGCACTTACTCTGTGTTGCTATTCTTTGCCATCACTGTGCCTCCTCACATCTCTGCTTGCAGATACTCATCCTCAGCATTCTGCAGGGAATCAGTGGACAGCTTAAAGCAAGCAATGTCTGTAAACCTGTGGCAGTTGCTGGATGCCCCTAGAGGGCTGGCCTGATTCCATGTCCAGCAGTATTGGGGACTGTGTTTTGTCAGCATCTCAGTTTTGGATTAAGGGATCAGTATGTGCTGTACATGTGTGTATGAATGTAGCCCATGACCTGCTGCCTGGAGCGAGGAAGCATCATCTCTGAGCTGCATCAGGCTTTTCTCTGATGCCTACCAGGAGCCCTCCTTCACTTCTGCTCCTGGTCAGGTAGGGCACACAGTGCAGGAGACCATGTGTTGTTCACAGCCAGCTGTTCACACATAGGTGGTAGTCAGAGAACAAGGCCATTTATTTTATCTATAGTTAGGCATGTGGCCAATAAGTCACCATACACCCTCACCTGCCTGTGCTAAGTCATGATCGCTACCCTTTTTTCCATCGTAGCTGCTCCCCCATTGTATGCCTGGCCTCAGCATTACTTAGTTGATCCGTGGTGACTTCCAGAAGAAAGCAAAAGAGCTAGAGTGGGATTTACCCACATCATGCATGGATCAGCTCTGCTAAGCCAAGGGTGACTTGAGCCTCTTCAGAACCAGTGCATCTTACTATCTTCTAGCAGGAACTTCCATGTTGAGTGACTCTGAGGTGGACCCTGATAGCCTGTAGAGCCGACTACTCTGGGTGGCCAAGATCTTGCCTTCTGTGGTCAGCCATGGAGCTGAGTTGGGTGGTGGGGAACAATGTGTTTTGAAGCCTGGCAGACATCACTTGGCTTCTGCCACAATAACAGGACAGCCTTGAGACTCTGAGCATGCTGTTTATGTACTCCAGCCTCAGTTTCCTTATCTTTGAACTGGGGATTTTAAGATTAACCTGCCAACTGTTTTAGGATTAGTGATAATTTGTTTACAGCAACCACCAGAGGATTGGCATAAGCATTCAATTCTCTTTAATGCTATTTCCATCTTTCCTTCTTTTGTAAATGCATAACCACTCATTCATTCCACGTTGATTTAAGCCTGCCAACTGCTAGGCTCAATGATGGTTCAGACAGTTGTGGCTCCTGCCTCATGAGACCTCTCTAGTTTGGAAGGAAAAGGAGATGTGAGGATTAGGACACCAAAGGAGGGAGCTCCTGTGTGGTGCCTCCTGTGACCAGAGCACCTGCTACTTCTATAAAGGACCTCATCTTACTCCTTCCAGACCCATCATCTGCACAGCAGAGAAGGGATTCTCAGAGCTAGCTTCAAAGACTAAGTGCAAGAGAAAGAAAGAAACTTGGAAATGTTTGTGTTTTTCTTGGATCACATCTTTTCCCCATAAAATCAGCCTCCTACACTGCCCCTTCTCAGGTGCACACAAGAGTGAGCAATCTTTGACTGCAGGCTGTGCTGTTAGGCAAAGGAGCAGGCATGGAAGAGCTTCTCTGGACAGTGAAACAGATCTTTGGAGTTAGAGACTGGATAATGGTGACCTGGGAGGAGTAGTGATGGGATGGGGCACCCCCCGTGGGCTAGGGTGACAATTATAGGTGTACTCAGCTGGCGAGGATTCACTTAGGGCTGTGCTCTGCTCTGTTAGTCAGTGTCAGATTCCATAAGCAGTGGAGTGTTCCCCATGGTGCAAGCCAGCAGGGCCACCCTCTCGCTGCTTTGCACCTTCCTTGCTATTCTCTGGGACTCTGCTTGGGCCTTTCCCCCAAAGCTGCAGGCCCCATAGCATGGGTTCTAGCTAACTAGGCCTTTCCTCTTCACTGTAACTGGAGAGAAATAAGCCTGGAAAAGTGACAGACCTTATCCAAAGACATGCAGCCAGGACAGTGTAGGCCCTGTCCCCTGGGGCCTCATCTCCTCTGAGTTCGTGTACTTCTGAGTGCCCCGGCTTCCCACTGGTGCAATTCTATGTGTCTTATCATGGAAGAGTCACTAGAACACTGCACAAGGTACTGTGAGGCCAAAGCTAGATATAGGATGGAGGTGGGGTGTGGAGCTGCACCTCAGTTGGCCTGCCTCTCTCGGCATCAGCATAATCACTGCCCTCCCTCCTGTCCTCCCCTGGGGCTGGCACCCTGTCAGGGATCTAGCACACACCATGCTGCCTTGTGCTTGGTAGCATCTGTGGCTGTCTCTTGTTCCTGACAGGGAAGGTCTGTGAGCACAGAGTCCTTGTTAGGCTGACTCAAAGGAGATGATTCATCACCAAGGGCTGAGAGAAAGAGTATCTGGCATGGAGTAGGTGCTCAGTAAATGTTTGCAGGAATAAGCAGAGGAAAGTATGTGTCTGGAAGCAGGAAACAGTGATGTGTGGTGGGTTCCGGGAGCGGAGGAGGGAGGCTTGCCAAGGAGACTTCTTGGCGGAAACTGTGTTTGGAGAATGAGCAGGATCCCTAGGCCAGCCTGAGGGCCAGGATGTGGGAAGCTGGGGCTTCTGGATGGAGCTCCACATTCAGCCTGGTGCTCCAGTGAAGGGCAGCAGTGGGTGGTGTGAGCTTGGTGTCTCTAGCCAGCTGGCTGACAAGCATGGCCTTCACTGAGGATGATGCTGGGAGTTCTGAAAGGACTGAAAGCCAGGAAAGATTTACTCTTAGATGCCCAGGAGAATAATGGTGCCACTAAGAGAAAGATGATTTCCTATGAGCCACAACACTCAGGGAAGGTGATGAGCACTGGAGGCAGAGATGACCAGCAGACGATGGAGAAGCATCAGGCAAGGGAGTTCTGTGTCCCACAAAATGATAGTCTGTGGTAGATTGGTAATAGGTGGCCAACTTAACACCCAGCTGACCTGAATCAGTGTGGGGCTGGCTGTGGAGCCTCTGAGGATTGTTGCCAACAACATAAAAGGGAGAACTGGGCAGGAAGAAGTGGTGCTGTTGTTTCACATAGAGGAGCTTGTCATGCTGGTTTCCTGGATATGAACTCGGCTGTTTTCATCATCAGGGGAGCTTGGAACCTCGTTGTTGTTTTTGTTTGTTTGTTTGGTATTTTATGCAGGGTCTCACTACACAGCTGGGACTCACAGTGATCCTCCTGTTTTCAGCCTCCCAGCGCTGGGATTATAGGCATGCACCACCACACCTGGTCTTGTTGGCCAGCTCAGCACACCTGTGGGCAGGGCCAGTGTGGCATGCAGTACTAGAGATTGAACCCTGGTCCCTGTGCTTGCCTAAGCAGGTGCTTAGTCTGCTAAGCTTCTCCCTGGCTTGGGACCTCATTGTTAAGAATGGCTGTGGTTCATTTTGGGAGCTCTGGTCCTTACTTTGAGTATCACTACCTAGTTCCAGAGGGAGAGATGGTGCTGTTGATTCTCTTGGAGAAGCTTGTTGTGCTAGTTTTTCTGATATGAATGTGGCTGTTCTCACCATCAAAGTAGCTCCGGTCCTCACTGCCACCGAACCACATGGCTATGGTGCTCTTCAAGGGAGCCCTGGTCCTTGTCTGGCGCTTCACTTTCTGGCTCCAGTGCAGATCCTACAGCCTGCTGGGACAGATCATTCAACCCACTGGCACAGATTTTCTGGCTTCCACCACTGACTTTCCCAGCATAGGTCTGTGAAACAGACTTGCATGAGACCATGTCCAGGTCTTTAGGTCTCCAGCTGGACTTGTGGGGGGCATTGTCATTGGCTGTAAGTCTTCAGCTGGACTTGTGCAGGACATTACTGTGGGATCCAGGCTCTCAGCTGGATTCTTTGGTTATCTAGTATATGGACAGATTTCCTGCACTCTTTTGTATTTAACTCTTTGGTTGACTATTATAAAATAATCCTGTAAATTATGTGTCCTGTATTATATCTTTTCCCTTGCAAACCCTGACACAAAATAGTCACTAGGAGTCTGTGAGCCTATGCTGTGTGCCAGGCATCTTCATGTAAATTATCACTAATGTTGACAGCAATCCTGCAAGGTAGATTATACTATATATGTTCTACAAATGAGGGCTGGCAAGATAGCTCAGTGAACTAAGTGTCTGATTTGGGAAACGCAGGTACCAGGTCCCTCGTGGCTCACCAGCCCTGCCCCCAAGATGTGCTGAGCCAGAGGAGTCCAGGCATGGTGGCACATGCCTGTAATCCTAGCAATGGGGAGGCAGAAAACAGGAGTCCAAGCTTCGTAGTGAGACCGTGTACCAAATACATAAATGAAGAAAAAGTACAAATGAAAAAATTCAAAGGGCCAGCCAGATAGCTCAGCGGACTAAAGCACCTGCTTAGGCAGAGTACAGCAGCCAGGGTTCGATCCCCGGCCTGCTGTGCTGGCCCCACCCCTGGGGAGCACTGAGACTGCAATTGAGACTGGGCGTGGTGGTGTGTGCCTGTAATTCCAGCCGTTGGGAGGCTGAAAACAGGAGAATCACTATGAGTCTGATCTACATAGTAAGACCCTGCAGACCCTGTACTAAATACAAAAAAGAAAGAATTTGGAATTGGGCTGAATGAGCTGCCAGGAGC